GGATTAAAAAAAAAAAATTAACTCCTTTCTTCCTCCCTCTCTCCTCCCTCTCTCCCCATCCTTTATCTCTGACTTCTCTCTCTCTCTCTCTCTCTCTCTCTCTCTCTCTCTCTCTCTCTCTCTCTCTCTCTCTCTCATTCTTATTAGTATTGAACAGGTAACCTTAGCACATGGCACAAATTCCAAGGGGGAAATGCAAAGTCCACCTCGTCCCCATTGCAGCCTCTCACCCCTCCCAGAGGCAGCCACCGGTACAAGCAACTTGCATCTCCTTCCAGAAATGCATGCGCGTACCAGGACACACCCACAGGCATATACAGACATGCGTCCCACTGTACATAACTCCACAGTACACCTTCTGTGCCTGGTTTTTTCTACCCAACATTGTATCTTGGTGGTTGGTCCCAGCTGTTACATAAGAAGCAACCTGCTAATGGAGCATGTGAAACATGATTTATTCATATCATGGTTTATTGAATGTCCCTGTTGATGGCCATTCAGGAAGCTGGCAGTGCTCCACTGTTCCCATCAATGCCACAGCAGAGATCTGCACGGACTTCATGTGTGACACGGGGCATATTTCTCTGTGTGCCACGCCTTGCCTCCTCCCCGGCCGCTACAGGACTCCCACCTGCCCCTGTCCCAGGTAATGCTTCCTGGGTATTTCTGACTTCTGGGTCCTTCCCTGGCTCTGGTCAACCCCACCCCAAGGATGTACGTCTCTTTCTTTCTGTCTCTGTTTCAGCCTCTCTAGATCTCTCTACCTCTTCTCTCTTTTTATCTTTGTCTCTCTCCCTCCCACCCCCCTTCCCTCCCTTTCTCTCTGTCCCTTCTTATTTCTTCCTTCTATCCTCACTCATCCCTGCCTCTCTGCTGCCCCCTGCAGGGTGAAGCTGGCTCCCAGCACAACTGCTCCCCACCCCTGTGGTTAATATTAAAGGAGACAACACCCAACCCAGCCCACATTTCTCCCACCCTCAAGCCCCCTCCTGACCTGGCTGGGCTTTCCCATCCCCCACAGTCAGGGCTCCTCTAAGCCCCTGTGCCTGCTGTCCAAGACACCATCCCCCCATTCTCTCTATTAGGGGGATTAAGCCTTGGGACAAACTGACACTCCTAGGGTGACACTGACTTTGAAGCAGGAATGGTGAGAACTAGACTTGGGTGCGTTGAATGTGGTTCCTTGGCTGGCAGAGTCTTGTACTCCTGCCGGGAGCCGGGCCTTCTTGCCCTCCCTGTCAGCAAAGAGAGCAATCAGTCTATGTCATCTCTGAGCTGGGCACAAATAATAAACAAACCACCCAAGGCCCTACCCTGGTGAGTCTGACATTCTCACGGGGTGACAGTTCATGACCAAGTGAGCATAATCATATACTTAAGGTATTTACAAATACCTAAGTTCATGAAAGAAAGAACAGGGTGTGGCAATAGGGAATAACAGGGGAAGGCCCAGATTACTGTTGACAAACCAACAGGGAACAATTACCAAGATATATTGTTAGGTAGAAAAAAAGCCAGAAGGATATGTGCGTTATGAAGAGGTGACATTTCAGTGGAGATGAAAGCAGCCATGGAAGCATGGAACGTGAAGCCTTGCAGGCAGATGTGGCAGCCTGTGCAAAGGCCCTGAGGTGGAAGGAATTTGTAGGTCAAGGACCAGCAAAACGATGGGACACCATGAGTGAGGGGGAGAGTGGCACAGTTTTATAGCTGAGAAACTAAGGCTTGGAAAAGGAAGTCCTTTGCCCAAGGACACACAAGGTTTGAAATGGAACTCGCAATATCTCTGAGGTATGCCTGTATTGCTTTTATTACCTCATTCAGCCCCGCATTTGTGTCTCAGCCCTGACCCTGTCTCAACTCCAGCCTTGAACATCAGCCACCCCTGGTTATCACCCTTTGGATGCCCAGGACCTAACACATGTACAATGGAATGCTTGATTTCCTGCACCGCCCCATCTGTTCTGGTCTCTCTTCCCCTCTCTGCAAATGGTGCCACCTTTCGCCTATTGCTCAAACAAAAGACTGAACATTTCATCAACCCAGGAAGTCTACTCCCATATGTCTTTGCAGTTCATCCCCAGCTCAGGCTACCCTCCACCTGCTCTTTTTTATTCCAAACTAGAGGTCCAGGGCACGAAGTTCGTGTACAGGTAGAGTCTCTAGGCCTGGCCAGCGATCAGGGCCAATCAGGGTCTTCCGGCTGCCAGCTGGGGCCTTCCTTCATTCCGCGCCACCCTCTGGTGGGCAGCACACGTCATAGCGAGTGATCGAACTCCCAGTCTCATGGTTGAACTCCCGAGGGGACAATTTGCATATTAGGCTTTTATATATGTAGACTAGAGGCCTGGTGCATGAAAATTCATGCACTGGAGGGAGGGGGTCCCTCAGCCCTGCCTGTTCACAGTCTGGAAGCCCTCAGAAGTGGGAGGCAACCCGGCCATCAGGGGAAGGAGATGCCCCCATCACACCTCTGCTGCTGCCACTGCCAGCAGCGCAAGCCTCAGCCGTCCCTGGTTACCTGAGCCTCGGGCCTGCCCTGGGCAGCTGGGCAGCCAACATCCGAGGCTTGCCTGTGCCTCGGCCAGCCCTAGGTGACGGGGGAGCCACCATCTGGGGCTTGCCTGCACCTCAGGCCAGCCCTGGGCAGCTGGGGGGCTGAGGGTAGGTCTGGCCACACCATGTGCCTGCCGCCCCACTGGCTGGGCTGAAAGGACTGTGGGACTCCAGCAGCGGGAGCAAGGAGCAACCAGACCCGCCTGCCACTCCCAGCGGGGCTGAAAGGACTGGGGGACTCGGGTGGGGCTGAGGGGACTGGGTGCCGCCATCTTTGTGACGGTGTGATAGTCAATTTGCATATTCCATCTTTATTAGATAGGATTACTGTTGTCTTTTCTAGAATTTGATATAAATGAAATTACGCCAGCCATGCTCTTTTTTTACCTGGCCTTTGTCACTCTTTTTTTTTTTCTTTTTTTTCTTTTTTAAATTAAATCTTTACTGTTCTGATTACATTTGTTCCTCTTTTTTTCCCATAACTCCCCTTCTCCCAGTTCCCGCCCCACCCTCCGCTGTCACTCCCCACCCACTGTCCTCATCCATAGGTGCACGATTTTTGTCCATTCTCTTCCCGCATCTCCCATTCCCCTTCCCCCCCCCAAGAATAGTCAGTCCATTCCCTTTCTATGTCCCTGATTCTATTATAATCACCAGTTCATTCTGTACATCAGATTATTTATTCACTTGATTCTTAGATTCACTTGTTGATAGATGCATGTTTGTTGTTCACAATTTGTATCTTTACCTTTTTCCTCTTCCTCTTCTTAAAGGAAACCTTTCAGCATTTCGTATAATACTGGTTTGGTGGTGATGAACTCCTTTAGCTTTTCCTTATCTGTGAAGCTCTTTATCTGACCTTCAATTCTGAATGATAGCTTTGCTGGATAAAGTAATCTTGGTTGTAGGTTCTTGGTATTCAGTACTTTGAATATTTCTTGCCATTCCCTTCTGGCCTGCAAAGTTTCTGTTGAGAAATCAGCTGACAGTCGTATGGGTATTCCCTTGTAGGTAATTGAGTCTCTTTCTCTTGCTGCTTTTAAGATTCTCTCTTTGTCTTTTGCTCTTGGCATTTTAATTATGATGTGTCTTGGTGTAGTCCTCTTTGGATTCCTTTTGTTTGGGGTTCTCTGCGCTTCTTGGACCTGTAAGTCCATTTCTTTCACCAGGTGGGGGAAGTTCTCTGCCATTATTTCTTGAAATAGGTTTTCAATATCTTGCTGTCTTTCATCTTCTGGCACCCCTATTATTCTGATGTTGGTACGCTTGAAACTGTCCCAGAGGCTCCTTACACTATCTTCACACTTTCGGATTCTTTTTTCATTTTGCTTTTCCAGTTGGGTGTTTTTTGTCAAATCTTTGGTTTGATTCTTGTGCTCCTCTGGTCTGCTATTGGGTATAATATTCTTTATTTCAGTCCGTGTATGCTTACTTTCTAATTTCTTTATCATAGCATCGAGGGTCTCATTAGTTTTCGTGAGGCTCTGCTCAAGTTTATAGCAAGCCCTCAAAATTGCGATTCTTAGCTCCATATCCTCCATTTCTGTCATGTTTTTTTGTCTCCGCATCTTTTATGCTTTCTTGGTGCACCCCCTTGTGGTCTTTGTGCGCAGTCTTGTTCTAGCCAAGCCTTAATTGTTGTAGTTAACACTAGAGGGATTTGACCACCAGGCCGACTGGCTGTAGGAACCAGCCGTGTGGAAAACGTCTATCTTCTGGGAAGGCGCTAATCCAGCCCTTGCCTGAGGCGATCGGCAAATGGCTGTGCACAGGGCTTGGGCGGGGCGGGATCAACAGGGCAGGCGGAGGGAGCAGCTATGGCCGCTCTCAGTCCCGTTCCCAGAGGCTCTGCTTCTCAGAACCCCGGCAGCCGCTGCAAACCTCGGAGAGAAAGCTGCTCTCAGGTTCCAACTGATGCCGGATAATCCCGCTTCTCCCGTCTGAGTCTGAATCCCCAGAGACTCGCCCGGATCTGGAGCCCAGAGTCTGAGACTCACTCCCGACCGAAAACGACAACCGCGCCCTCAGCCACCAGCCCGCTTTCGCGCGCACCTCGGTACCTTTGTATTTTCCACACTGCGCCTCCTCTGAGCCTCGGTTTGCTGTTCTCTTTCCTTCTAGTTGTAGAGTCTCTCTTCAGCCAGCCTTCCTGTGGTTCTGGGTGATGTCCGTTCCGTCTTTTAGTTGTATTTTTGAAATGGTTGTATGCGGCAGCGGTCTCCGGTGTTTACCTACGCCGCCATCTTGCTCCTATCCCTTTGTCACTCTTTGTGATGATTTTAGTTTCGCCCATGTGGTTGCATGTTTCAATAGCTCAGGCTTTTTTCTCACTTAGAATAGTCCATGGTATGGATGGAGGTCGCCTACATTATCCATTCACCTGTTGATGGACACATATTGTTCTCATTTGAAGCTATAGTTGACTCTTGAACAATGTGGGGGTGAGGGATGTACAGTAAAGATCTACATATAACCATTTTTTTGGTTAATTCTCACCCTAGGATATTTTTTTTCATTGATTTTTAGAGACAGTGGAAGGGAGGGGGAGAGAGAAAATCATTGATGTGAGAGAGACACATTGATTTGTTGCCTCCTGCACATGCCCCAACAGGAGCAGGAGATCGAGCCTGCAACCAAGGTAGGTGCCCTTGACCAGAATCAAACTTGCCACCCTTCAATCCTTGGACCAACACTCTAACCACTGAGCTAGGGCTCCACATATAATCTTTGACTCCCCCCAAACTGAACTGCTTATAACCTACTGTTGACCAGATAACCTATGGCAGTGATGGCGAACCTATGGCACGCGTGTCAGAGGTAACACACGAACTCATTTTTTTGGTTGATTTTTCTTTGTTAAATGGCATTTAAATATATAAAATAAATATCAAAAATATAAGTCTTTGTTTTACTATGGTTGCAAATATCAAAAAATTTCTATATGTGACATGGCACCAGAGTTAAGTTAGGGTTTTTCAAAATGCTGACACGCCGAGCTCAAAAGGTTCGCCATCACTGACCTATGGTCTAACTGATAACATAAGTAGTCAATTAACACATGTTTTGTATGTAATATGTATTATCCTATAT